TGTTGATTCTTCCTGACCTTTCTGTGCAGCATTCCTTCCTCCTGGGAATGGGGCAGGGCCCTGCTGATATGAGGGTCTTATGACCTACAATCAGCTAAGGTAGGTCAGAGAATTTCCTGCCTCAGGGAGAGAAAGGAGCAGGTGAAAGCAGGGCAAGAGAAGATCAGAGGAGTATGAGCCAGGAGCCGTGGACGAAAGCCAACATATAAATATCATATCATCATAGTTTACCAAAACCAATTATAGCCAATATAAGGGCAGACAGAGTTAATCTAGGAATGGCTGGAGAAATAATTTAAAGACACCTAATTCTCTGAAACTGTGCAGTCTAAAAACTTAACAATTAATTATATGACATAGGACAAGCCAACTACTGTAAAAACTAGGTATGAGACGGTATACTATAAGCAAAAGAAATTCAGGTTTTATAAAGATATCAATTTCATGACATTTAAAGTATCTGTAAAATATAAAGTATCTACATACTTCTGATGAAAAACTATTTAATTTCTTCAGCATACTTTCTCTCCAAAATACAAGGTATTTATTTTTCCAGAAAAAAAAATTTCGGTTTCCAATTCTTAGTATACAGAGACACAAATGCCTACACTTCAGTGACTAATGAAAAAGCTTTTACTAGGGAATTTGGAAATAAGAAAACACTTTTTTGCTATCAACTTATAAAATAAGGTTAAAAAAAATTATTCACAGAAAATATTATACTATAGATTACTTACATCATTCCTTTGAAGTAATGTAAGTCTGAGGCATTATCAGAGCAGCTGGGAGCCTGGGCACAGATCAACCAAGGGTCTCAGTCCTCACTGCCACTCAACCCGTGCCACTTCCTCAATCAATGAAACAGGGAGACAAGTGGTGCCTTCCTCACAGAATCGTTAAAAACTAAATGAAATAATTCATGCAAAGTGCTTGGCAAGGTACTTATTAAGCACTTATGAATGCTTTATTAATATCAAAGGTTCTTATCATCACAGAGCTTTTTATCACCAAGAAAAGAACAATGAAAACAGGAGGGCCAATCCCTCCAGTTCTCCAACAGAGTGATGATGCTTTACACACGGACCCAATTCATCAGTCCACAAATACCTGTCATCAACTCGCTACCGTCAGACTAAACTTCGTTATTTGGGGGGGAAAATATTTACTGAGCTGTACCTTCACCAGGTATCACAGACAGACAATGATAATCTACCTTCAGCAAGGAAGCTTTCCAAATCTAGACTAAGGTGAGCACCTTTGCTTCCCAATGGCTTGTTTCCTCCCCAAACTGCAGCCTTCTTCCACCAGAGTGAGCGGACCCTGCCCTCAGTCCAACTCAGTAACCAATGTGGCCTCAGGCCATGGCCGCTGCACTAACACAAGCCCAGAAGCCAGGTACCCTGAAGCCCAAGTTTGTGTTTATACCTCACCAAGTATCAACCATTGTTGTAAAAGCAGGGAAAAGGCGACCTTTCCTATCCTGGCCTTAAGCATGAGGTTCTTTGGCCAAAGTAAACAAGGAAACATTTAAAAAAAAAAAAAAAAATTTAATAAAACCCTTTTTAACTTTTTACCTCTTTGGTTAAAATTACCAAGAAAGTTGTAAAAGCAGGGAAAAGGCGACCTTTCCTATCCTGGCCTTAAGCATGAGGTTCTTTGGCCAAAGTAAACAAGGAAACATTTAAAAAAAAAAAAAAAAAATCTAATTAAACCCTATTATACTTTTTACCTCATTGGTTAAAATTACCAAGGAAGATAAAACATAAAACACCCATAAATAGCTGTTAATATTACCTTCATTTCTTTATCCTTAGCATTTGAGAAAGTGATTTTTCACTATAGAATCTCACTGACTGGTATTTAAATTTGAATAAAAGCATTAAAGCAGTATTTAAAGCAACAATAGATGTGAAAGTATAAAATACACAATTCTATTTAAAACAATTCTTTTAAGTTTAAAATACTATGATAAATGAAAAGTTCTCATTAATGTGAAATCACAAACTTTAATATTTAATATATTTAGGATACTGATTATTGGTCCCTCTCCTTTCAGATATTAAATGTTACCACTCAAATAAAAATTCTATTTCTTTCTGTTTCTATGCATATCTTACACTTACACGTGGTGAAAAAGGTTAACTTGGCTCAAAAACTTTCAGAAGCAGGTTTAACACATCACATTTTGCTCATGAGCACAAGATTTAGTCAGAATTTACAGTCAGAAGTTGCACATAAAGGGTTTATTTTAAATGTTTTAAGGATAGGATAGAGTTACATCATAATTATAAAAATTACTTACAGAATTAACAGATTGATATTGTATATACTTCTAAATGCAGAGAACAGGGAACTGTCTACACATTGTATAAAATAAAATTAAAAATGAGTTCAAGCTTGAAAGATGAGGTCATTTACTAATTTTAAAATGTGAACACGAAGACCTCTGAACTTATACACATTCATTCGAACTGCACTAATGATGGAAAATACAAAGAGCGCAGCATTTCCAAGGAACCACAGACATTTCGACTGTAATTATTTTTTTATAATATTTGTTCCTCTTTTGTCTTTGGAGAACTTTCATTTTTCTAAGACAATCAGCTTAAGAGTGTTTTCAGGCACTACAATTTGTGACAATCAGAACAGTCTTCTTCTAACGGGTCTACGGTGTTCAGAGATTCAAGCCCAATGCACTTCAGGGTTTGGCACATAAAACGATAATAAAAATGAAATCTGGTTTAGAAGTAACTGTGACTTTTTAAAGAATGCACAGTCCCTTCAAATGCTGCATGACATATACAATTGGAAAATCACCTTCTGTTGGCACTGCATTTGCTTCACCAGTGCATTTTTATCCTACAACCACTAAAACAGCACAGTAAGCAAATATACAGGAAACTGAAAGCAAATAAAAATAAAGAAAACAAAAAACCTAAGTATCTTTAACATGCAATTTTAGTTAGTTACATTGAACATTCTACTTAGAATAGAGCATGCAAAAAAGGATGGTCTGCTTTTAAGATTTTTCTCTGAAGTTTTACGTGGCAGCCTGACATCACACGCACACACGCACACACGATACAATAATACTAGAGCAGGTAAATGAGAAAGGCCAATAAATTTTATACATAGATTCATGTCTTGTGTTGTCACAAGTCCCATGTCATTTTGGAAATTAATGCTGAATTCCTAGAACAAGGAACCAACATCCAGATACCAGAAAAATGCAAGCAATGCATGCAGATCTGAAACATGAGCCTAAAATGAAGCCCAAGATACATGGGCTCGGGGGCAGAATTAGTCACAGCGTCATTAGGTGTGGTGTAAGCCACCAAAAGAAAGAAAGAGTGGGGGAAAAACAGAAAAACAATAAAAAAAAACCCTTCCCTTTCCCTCAGCCCTAAAGACAATAAATGGAATGATGATTAAAACCATCATCGTCGTCGTCACGTTGCATTCATTTAGAGCTGGGAGATCATGTGGTATATTAAAGTTGCTTGTGGAAAAACCACAATGCAAGTCATTAGGTAATGCTACAAATGTTTCAATCAACCCAACCCTCAGTATATCTCAAAATGAACTTTATTTTTCATCCCAAAGTCACTGCACCATGTTCTGCACACAGTCTATGCATGTTAGACACACTCACGAGCTTGTGCCATAAACGTCAGTCTGGGCTCCAGGAGCCAGGCTCAGCTTTGAGATTTACATGCAGGGACTCATAAGAGTCACCAGGAAGTCACAGCAGATCTGCAGCACACCACCTGTTCACACACAAGAAAAGCATCTATAACTTAGGTCTCACACTGCTTTGAGAAGCTCGCCCCTGGCTGCCTGCGGTGAAGCACTACACACAGGGCGAGTACGGCCTTGGACAGAGAACTGAGGTAAGTGTTTACATGGTGAGCGGTCATTACCATCCACAGCACAAGGCACAAGCCTTAGTGAAGGCTTAAATGGGCATCGAGCAAACCAGCATAGAGATCTTGAAACTATGGAATCTCTAACATCAAGAACAGCCACAAAAGGTCACAAAAGGACCTCTGATCCAAACCTCTGGTGTCTGACTGACAGCATGCGCATTTAGGCTGCAGTCAAATTGCAGATAAGATTTCTAATCTCCACAAGAGGCTGGTTTCACATCCAGCCTTTCTCTTGGCTGTCAAACCACCAGGGTTCCTCCAAAACAAAGTGAGCCATTTTGCAATCAACCAACAACATATCTGCAGTTCTATTTCAGTTTAAAACAACACTGCAGGAATAAACCACAAAAAGACTCTGTGGCTAAGGGCTGCTATTACTTACACCCACAAGCGAGCACAAATGACTGGACTTTCTATGGGAACATATATCACTGACATGCAACCCCAAGGGGCCACCAAATGGAATGAATCCGCAGTAACAGCACACCTGGAGTAAGAACATACACCACCACAAAGGGTGTCAAGAGAGTAAGCTATTATTGTCTAGACAGTCTTTGTGGGGAAAAGCTCCCAGGTTGGGGAGGCG